TGTATCGCTTGCCCCTCCCTTTTAGATTGTAAGCCCTCAGGGGCTGGGCCCTCCTTACCTTCTTGTCCTGAGTTGTATTGTGATTGTAATGTCTTCCTTTATATTGTAAAGTGCTGCGCAAACTGTTGGCGCTACATAAATCCTGTATAATAATAATAATACCCCCCTCCTCCCAGGCCAATCAGTTGCGGCAGGGGCATTACCATCCCTTTGTTACATGTAGCTGCGGGGCAAGGAATTCCCTGGCTGCAGCTGATTGGACCAGGAGGTGAATGTGTCACCGGCAGTTTTGTATGGGCTCAGGTGAAATCGATTTGTCCCAAGCCTGCGCAGATTCCTACTTTTGATCAATCTTACACGGCGAGTCTCGGTTGCTGACATTGCATGTAGTATAATCCAACTGATGTCCATACACTGTCTGTATAAATGATACAATTACATGGAAGACTGCTTTGCTGTATGGTAATGTCACACATTCTCAGGTGAATACTCCGAAGTGCCAGATGACTGCGGGCTACAGCATAAAGACAAGCAATGCTATTTCCTTCTAGTCTGTGTGTGATGATAATTTAAAGAGGCACAACCCTCCCGGGCGTTTCTGTGTGTGTAGGAAATTTCATTCAGCTTACTCAACACTTTGGTTTATTGATAAAGACTCCGGTAGGTTGATGACTAAGGAGAAGTGACTTGACTTGCTCAGCACAATCTTAGGAAAGTTGTGAGTACATTTGAGTACATTTGTATTCGGAGACAGAAAAGAAGAAAATAAGAAGAAAAACCTAAAGATCTGGTATGATAACATAACCCTAATTCATTTCCAGGAACACAATGACCCTTTCTGTGAAGAGACGCCCCTGGAATCAGGGAACATTTGCAAAGCATCAATGTTGTCTTAAAGCAGAACTCCAGACACAGACATTTTTACATATTCTTAAAGGCTAAGTTTAGTATTGAAACCATGATTCATCCTACACCCATATTCAGGATGTAAGATTGAAAAAGATTTCCGGCCATTTTAAAAATGAACCCTTGCAGTGGGACTACCCCCCGCACTGCAAGGGTTAAGTGCTCATTCTGTTATGAGGGTCTAATATAAAAGAGATACACTCACCTGATCCTGCCTGGCTCCTAGACCGGGCCCCACAGCCTCTTCTTCCCTGGGCTCCAGTGGTTTAAGTGCCGCTGACGTCCTCGTGTCCAATAAAAGTCTATTGACTTGACATTCTGCAGCCGGAGTGGAGGGGGAGAGAGGTAACTGGTCACCTATGCAGGGCCGAGGATCAGGTGAGTATATGTTCTATATTTTAGCCCCTAGACCAAACCAAGCACTTAACCCTTGCAGTGCAGGGGGGGGGGGGTCATTTTTATAATGGCTGGAATTATTTTTCAATGCTACCCCCTGAATATAGGTGTAGGATGAGTCATGGTCCCAATCCTAAACTTAGCCTTTAAACATAGCTATGAGGTCTTTAAACATGGTCACATTGTCACCCCCCCTCACCCCCCCACTTACCTGAATTGCAGGGTTCTTCTCCCCGCAAGCTGCTTTTTTTTTTATTTGATGCAGCTGGGCATGGCTCTGTCCACACAGCCACCCCATCCACTCATCCACTCATCCACCTTTGAATGAAAGCAACAGAGGGATTTGTGGTTTTCAATGGAATACAAGTGCGGCAACATCACCAAACTTGTAGTCCATTTATTCGCCCTCCCGTCCATGTTATTGAATGTCTGCAGCTCGGTATGGACAGGGACCGGAGGGAGAATCTGCAAGAGCCAGAGTACTGCACCCGCGATCAACTGATCCCCTGATCTACTGATCACGGTTGCAATGGTTTACTGGCTCCAATGCAAAAAAATAAAATATGCCCTTTTTTCTTGTATGAAGAACTGCACATTCATAGTTTTTTTCAAAAAAGTGGCCTTTACCTTTAAGTTACCTCTGGGCAGGTGTGTTAACTTTGCAGATCGCCTCTATTTACTGTGCAGTTCACAAATTTGTATATGCCGGATATTACAGCTAACGCTGTACTTCCAGTGCTGGGGCTATAAGAGCAGCTCTCATTGTTGCCGTGCCGGAAATACATAATTAGCTACAACAATATCCAGCAAATACAAATTTGTGAATTTTAAAGTAAATAGAAGAAATCTGCAAAGTTAATACACCTGCCCAGAGGTAACTTTTGTTACACTTAAAATTTTTTGGCTTTAAAGCTAAAATCCAGTTAATAAAACGCCTTTTTTTTCACAGTTATGCGTTCAGTGGAAATTAAGGATACATTCTAGACATGTAAGCTGCGGACAAATTCGGTTCGGATTTAGTTATTTTGGGATTTGGGTCTGAAATTCAGTCCGATTCAGGGTTTCGGATTTGGGACGAAATCTGAATGTTTGTTAGTTTTGGATCCGTTTACGAACGGATATTCGTTATGACTACCAGAGAAAACCATTTACTAGGCATGCACGATACCAAAGAAGAAGAGAGAAACAGAGGAATTTGGTTCTAGAAGTGGGGACAGACCCTCCAATTTAGGGATATTTTGGAACTGTGGAATCAACCAATGACAAGTGACACAAAAGAACACTTTTCAGTTGAGATTACACTATATTGCCAAAAGTATTGGGACACCCCTCCAAATCATTGGATTCAGGTGTTCCATTCACCTCCATGGCCACAGGTGTATAAAATTAAGCACCTCGGCATGCAGACGCTTCTACAAACATTTGTGAAAGAATGGGTCGCTCTCAGGAGCTCAGTGACTACAAGTGTGGTACCGTGATAGGTTGTCACCTGTGCAATAAGTCCATCCGTGAAATTTCCTTGCTACTAAATATTCCGCAGTCACCTGTTAGTGGTATTATAACAAAGTGAAAGCAACTGGGAACAACAGCAACTCAAGTGGTAGGCCACGTAAAATGACAGAGCGGAGTCAGCGCATGCTGAAGCGCACAGTAGGCATGAGTCGCCAACTGTCTGCAGAGACAATAGCTACAGAAATCCAAACTTCATGTGGCCTTCAGATTGGCACAACAACAGTGCGTAGAGAGCTTCATGGAATGGGTTTCCATGGCCGAGCAGCTGCATCCAAGCCTTACATCACCAAGTGCAATGCAAAGCGTCGGGTGCAGTGGTGTAAAGCACGCCGCCACTGGACTCTAGAGGAGTTGAGACGTGTTCTCTGGAGTGACGATTCACGCTTCTCTGTCTGGCAATCCGATGGACAGATCTGGGTTTGGAGTTTGCCAGGAGAACGGTACTTGCCTGACTTCATTGTGCTAAGTGTAAAGTTTGGTGGAGGGGGGATTATGGTGTGGGATTGTTTTTCAGGGGTTGGGCTTGGTCCCTTAGTTCCAGTGAAGGGAACTCTTCAGCACACCAAGATATTTTGGACAATTTTAATTCAATTGAAACCTACGGACTAAGGCTGGGATGCCATTAAAGTTCATGTGCGTGTAAAGGCAGGCGTTATAGTGTGTATACTGCCCCTGTAGCTCTAGGCTACAGCTGACCATACATGTGGTACTTTTGAGGCAATTTCAACCACTTTCAGTTGACTGAGAATCAAACGTATGGTCGAACATAGTTGCCTGAAACCACACAATCTCCTACTGATGCCTTTATTCAACCACATGCATTCCATCGAATGAACCGGGCTATAAAATGACAGCTTCAATACAGTTTATTGGGAAAAAATGTTTGTAACCCTGTCCTCTGTTCAGAAAAAAACTTTGCATTCTGTTCAATAAATGCAATGCAAGGATTGGAGGAGAGGTCATAACATTCTTCCGCACGTCCTCCAATCACAGAATGCCTTGCATTCATTGAAAAGAACACACTGCTTTTTGTGAAGAGAGCATCAGGCACAGGAAGGGGTTACAAAGAGCGGCTCACTGTACTAAGAATACAGAAATTGGAATTGGATATTTCTGTGGGGGACATTTGGCCCTGACAGTTTTTAATGCTTGCAAGGCGTTCTGTGATTGGAGGAGGGAAGATAGTGAAACCCTTACACACCACCTCCAATCACAGAACGCCTTGCATTAATTGAAAAGATTGCAAGGATTTTTCTGAATGGAGGATGGGGTAGAGCAAAAGGCGCACTGTACTGAGCATACTGCAACTGGAATTTGATAAGTTAGTGGTGGACATTCAGTTTTTAGTGCATGCAAGGCGTTTGGTGTTTAGAGGAGTGGAGACCGTGACATTCCTCCACACCTTCTCCAATCACAGAAGGCCTTGCATGCATTGTAAAGAACACAAGGCTTTTCCTGAATGGAGGTTACAAAGGGCGGTTCACTGTACTGAGCGTACTGCAACTGGAATTTGATATCTAAGTAGTGGACATTCAGTGTTTTCAATGCAAGCAAGGTGTTCCGTGATTGGAGGAGGGGACACTGTGACATTCTTCCATGCCTCCTCCAATTACAGAACACCTTGCATGCATTGTAAAGAACGCACGGCTTTTTCTGAATGGAGGATAGAGTACAGGGAGCAACTTACTGTACTGCAGCCGGAAATTGATAACTTAGTGGCAGATTTTCACCCCGACAGGACACAGCGTGCTGAATGAAACGAAGACATTGAACGCACACCGTGACGGCCAGAAATGGGGAACATTTCATGATTGGTCATTTATTTTTACTGTAAATATATTCATAAATCACTTTTAAAGTTCAGCTTTAAAGTTTTCCTGCTCAGAGTTCAGCTTTTAAGTGCCAAACATTATTTGCCCAGCAATAGAGTGGAGTGTCATCTACAGTATTTAACAACTGCAATGCTCTCCAACTGACTCAGGTGTCCTGTGCTTGCATTCTCAGAGTGACCAGCAGATGGCGTGCGCCCCCTCTCCATTACAGAAGAAGGATGTCACCTATCCTGGTGTTCCAAGCCAGAGGGGGAGGGTTGGATTGCCTGGTGATGTCATGAACCTGTCGTGCAAGTGCAGGCGGATTAGCAGGAGGGGAGAGGGTGTGTAGCTTGTGTGCATGCATTACCTGCCTCCATACACCTTCCTGCCTGCTCATCACAGATACAAACCTGAAGCCTTCTCTTTTTCCTTCTTGATCCAAGGGGCTGCTGTGACAATCCAGGCTGTGCTGATGCCAAACCCAAGACAGGTAGGCAGCAACATCCTACATCATGTCACCTAGGGACATATGAAACAGCTGATCGTCCATATTTTTGCATGGGGCCCTCAGCTGGAAGGATCATTCTGTGTCCAGATCTGTGCTTTGATCTGCTACATTGTATTGCGTTCTCTGTGGCTTATTATTTCCTTTTTGACATTTATTTGTAAGCAAATGTGGAGAGAGAAAGGGGATTGTGTAAATATTAGTAAATATTAACACTTTCACTTCTAGGAGAGGCTGGATGCCCCCCTCTCCCCCTTCCCCCAGTGAAAAGGGATTAATGATTACATTGTGACAAGCATAGATCCTAAATGGGGGAGTGGTTTGGATTTAAAGGGATCAAAATATTGCAGCTGCAACCCAGCTGTAGCACCCGGCGTGCCCTGTGTGCCTGCGGACTAATACTGGTCTGTAGTCCCCCCGAAAGGGTCTGGTAGCAGAGATCTATCTGCTGTTACGTTGTGTCTGTGCCAGTGAATAATACATGAGATTGCTGGGTTTGGTCACTGCAGGGCCCTGTGATTTTGTAATTCATTACTGGGGGGGAGAGGAGGGCTGGGGGTGAGGATGAGCCGCCTTGATTTCACTGTTTGGCAGATGCCTCTTCCCAAGGCATGGTTTGATTTCTTCCACCCACACTAGAGGGAAAAAAAAAAACCCACCATTGAGCCGAAGCCTGTGTTTGTGTTTCCATCGCACTCTCTGCTGTGACTTTATATTCCGGAGGGTTGCTGATGACAGAAGCCGGAGGGAAAGAGGCCTGGACGCAGGAGCTACGCTACAAACCGAGAGCGGAGGAGATGACGGCGAGCAGGTCCGCCTTGTGGTCAGTATCCATCAAGTGTACCTGTCCCCTCCTAGAAGCAGCCAGAACAGGTCAATTGGGTATTTTTGTGGGCTCATATACATAGGCGTAAAAAAAAAAGAAAAATAGTGTATAGTTTTTTACGTATCTGAATGCGGCAGTGTTGTATATTATGGGCTCGGTGATCTTACGCTGCGCTCACCTGCGTAGAATCAATGTAGACATTTCTGAGTCTGTGGTCAGTATTTCTTTTCTTGGAACCTATATACATGCTGGGTTTGAAAACTGAACTAGAGGAATGGAAGGAGAATTGCACATGGATAGCTGGGGCAGTTCAATGTAAATTCTAGAGTATTTCCCCCTCCAGGGGGGTCACAGGTGTTGCATACAGCCTCCCATAGAAGTCAACGGCCGTACGCGGGTATACGCTGATAGTTGTGCACTGTCGTGTATGTACGGACGCACAACCCTGGAAGAAGACAGTCTGTATCCAGGGATGTAGGTATCTACGCAAGTACCTGTGTGTACCCACGTACAGCCATTGACTTCTATGGGGGGCTTTACGCCGCACCTGTGGCTCCGCGGCAGGGTAAATTTGCCTAAATGTTGTATGGGCTCCGCTGCCTGTGAGCATGAGCCCCAATGGATGTGAACATTTCACGGAAATGTTTGTGTCTAATTGCATGTAAATGGAAGCACCTTATGGACCATTACATGCACGTTCATTTATTATTGCCATTTATATATTGCCACATGCATACAGGGCCAATTAACCTTCCATCATGTCTTTGGAGTGTGGGAGGAAACCAGAGCCCCCGGAGGAAACTCACACAAGAACATGCAAACTCTTTCCAGATAGTGTCCAGACCAGTATTTGAACCGGGGACCCTCAGTGCTGCAAGGCAGAAGTGCTAACCACTGTGCTGCCCATAAAAGATCTTTCTGCCCGCATAGATATCAGTATTTCTGTACATAAGCCCTTAGATCAGGGGTAGGCTACCTGGGCACTCCAGCTGTGCCGAAACTACAATTGCTATCATAACTGTGACTGTCAGTCTTGCAGTGGGACTTGTAGTTCCACAACAGCTGGTGTGCTGAGCTTGCCTGCCCCTTCCTTAGATACTGGCACGGGACTGATGTCCAAGGCTATATATGGGGAACCTACAAGGGTGGGTAGCAGTAAGGCTGGCCATACACCTTTCAATTTTTTTCGTTCAACCCCCGGACTGAACGAAAAATATTGACCCGATTCCTCCATCAACACAAACAGCGCGTCGATCGAGCAATCCCGCTGTTTACATTGTAATCTGACAGGTGCTGGCACCTGTCAGAATACCCGATCAGACCGGGCAAGCTCATTGGCTGCTGGCTCTGATCGATTGAAAAATTTCCAGCCGGCTCCTTCAATCAACTGATTGTGGAAAGCCAGCTAAAATTGAGTTGACAGCCCCACACACTTTGCGAGTTTCGGCCGGTACATGGAAAAACCGTCCGGAATTCGACCAGTGTATGGGCACCTTTTAGACTCTCGTGCTTTTGAAGTCATTTTTTAAATATCTGAAGTCAGAACTGTCTGTGTTTCCCAAACAGTAACAATTAGGCACATTAACAATACAAGAATAGTAGTCTACTCCAAAACTTGTGAGCATTCATCGACAAACACTTGCAGCGCTGAACACTGAAAAATGGCCTGGCCAGGAAGGGGGTCTAAACACCTGGTCTTGAAATGGTTAAAGATGACCTCTAGGTATATTGACAGACATAAGCGCCAATGAATCAATGAATGCAGTTATTGATGGGAGGAAGAGTCTGCAGGATCCAGAGCATCGCACCCACGATCCGCTGATTGTGTTTGCAATGCTTTACTGGCTCCAATGCAAAAAATAAGAAATGCCCATTTTTTTTCTTTTATGGAGAAGTGTTCATTTTTTTTTTTTTTTAAAGTGGAATTCCCCTTTTTGATTTAATTATGTGTAAAGTGGAAGCACATTAAAAAATCATAGAATGTGTGACTTCTCATTTTTGTGGCTGTCTGCGCTGCTTTTATACCATTGACTATAATTGCGCAGATGTTGCCATGTTGTTAAATACAAAGATGTGTACGGGCCCTCAGGGTTCCTGTGATTTTCTTGTACCTGCACAGCGTGTTATGGGTGCCGAGGATGCCTGAAATAATCCTGTAACTTGAGAATATTGAACAATGTATGTCCTGCTTTAGAAATGTTGACATGTGTGAGGACACCACTCCAGCTACTTATGACATTGTGCATCATTGCACATGTGCCTTGGGTGTGTCTTACATGTTGCTCCTGTGCGTGCCCGTACCTTGTGGGGCCTGTAAGTGCGGGAGCGGTTAGAGTATGCGTGAGGACACCACTCCAGCTACTGATGACATTGTGCATCATTGCACATGTGCCTTGGGTATGTTTACATGTTGCTCCTGTGAGTGCCCGAACCTTGTGGGGCCTGTAAGTGCGGGAGCAGTTAGAGTATGTGTGAAGGAAAAGTTATTGCCCATAACAGGGAAGTCCTAGCATAGCAAAGCTTGCTGCTGAAGACACACTATTCATCATGAGGCCTAATCCAGGGGTTGGCAACTCCGGCCCTCCAGCTGTTGTGGAACTACAAGTCCCATGAGCAATTCAAAACTGACCATTACAGGCATGACTCCCAGTGGCATATTGGGATTTGTAGTTAAAGCACAGCTGGAGGGCTGGGGTTGCCCTTCCCTGGCCTAATCTATGGCAGCACCCAGATCTCTGTTAGCGGTAGGCCCTAACTCATCACAACCACTGAAGTTCTGGCATTCATTTTTATAGGTAACGTTGATTTCTCAACGCATGCAGTCCATTCATTCCTAGGTGAGAGGCTATAAGCAGTCGTGTCACAGAGTTGCCCTTTATTCAGATTTAATGGGCTGCCAATCAGTTATGGGCG